AATGGGACAAAACTCCCTTAACAAATGTCTCACTTAACAACAAATTTTGGGCTCAGTTTGATCGTAAATCAAGGACTACCTATACGCCAATGATAACCAAAATATGGTTTCATCTATGGATGCAGTGGGTACAATTACTTATGTAGAACGTTAGCACCTACCCCTCTCTTAGAATGAAATATTCTAGGAAATATTAAAAAGACAGAATATTATGCCTGGATGAGAAAAGGAGAAACATGCTTTTGGAAAGCAGCCCCACCTTTGTTAATAGCCCCAGAAAGGCTGGGCTTCCTATCTACAAGACAAAAAGCCTTCAGTTCCAGGGTGATAGGATTAGCCCTCACACAAGATCCAAACCAGGACAAAGCCATTAAGCCATAATAGGAATGGCCCAACACCCTTTTAGAACACAACCCTCCTCATTACATCATCACCCAGCAAGATTCAACCAAGCCTAGGACACAGACAGCCTACAGGGTTAGCTGGACCCTCGCATAACCCCCTGGGAGTCTGACAACCAATTGGATACATTTCTTGGAAGGCCCAGGAGAGGGTATAAATACTCTCCAGTCCATGTGGCCAGCTACTCAAAATCACATGTGCTTGGTGGTTCTGCTTCACCATTAAACCATCCTTCCAAGCAGCCTCCATGTTTCCAGTGTCTTTCTCCCCACTTGGAACTGAACACAGATGGACATTTCTTCCAACACTCATCTTGAGCAACATTTTAAAAGAAGCAATAGTTGTCAGAGAATGAGGCAAAAACCTTAAAAACTTCAGCCTTACCATAATTATTTAAGGCCTGTTGATCGCATTGGAATACACTACAGAAAATATGTATAGAAAACTGTACTATAGAAATGTCTTCATGTAATCATTCATCCTATAGCAGGAAACTTATATAAATCTCCATGGGAATATACCCCTGGGTTTATTATGTACATCTTTTTTGTCAAACATCAAAAGGGAAAAGAGTAAATGAGCAACTTATAGGCAAATACATGATGCCTTATTAAAGATTTAGAAAACCTAGAAACAGATGTGTTATCTCCTTGAGAGAATTTCTAATCTATAACCTAGGGATATTCGAGTGTTAATTATTCATACTAAAATGGTAATTTTTCCTTAGCAGGTTTTATTTTGATCAATTCCAGCTTTTTAGTGAGCTGCCAACAAAAACAATTCTTACCAAATAATAGGTATGCTAAAGAAAAGACTCTAAACTGCTCTTGTAATAAAAGTAGCTGCGCTTTTATTGTAGGTTGTAACAAAGAAGTAAGGCCTATAGCAAAGACCCATGGATCTGTGGAAAGGGAACTTCACGAGGACAGTGGTGTCACCCAAGCAGGAAAAGCCCAAAGGGAACATCAAGCCAGCCATAAAACAAACTTCCATAGGAAAAGAAATCAAATAAAAGGTATTAAAGAAGCCCCTTAGACAAAAGCCCAAATAATTAAGAAAACTAGGGAAACAAGAAAACCCTTACAAACACAAGACATGCCAAATCAGCAAAACAAACAGACAAAAGACACAAAATATATTGCAAAGGAGACAGACAGGAGATTGCCACAAAACAAATATAAGAAACCATTAAGCTAAAAAAGATTAGGACGAAACCGATAATCCAATCAAACCACCCTGCACCCCGCGGAGTTTACCCTCCGGCGGAAATGAAGACAACCCCTGACAGGATTTAAAACATTAAGAAATACAAATACAAGCACTCACATACAAAAGGAGAAAAAAGTATAAAAACCAGGGACTTAACCATACAAAGGTAGCTAGCCCAGGAATGCAGACTTCTTGCTATCTCTCGCCTTCCTGAAAAAAATAAAAAGATCCAGCTTTCAAGCAGTTGTCCATATCCTTGCACCGGAGCTCTCCCAGCAGGAAAATTGAATCTTCAGAAGAAAGGCATTTTGACAGCCTTTCAACAGATCCTGAAAGCTTCCTGTTTCAAACACGAACATATTAAGGTGTTGAGCTTAGTGGTATTAGAAACTAAGGTAAAAGGTAGAGGTACCCCTCGCACATACATGCTAGTCATTTCTGGCTCTAGGGGGCGGTGCTCATCTCCATTACAAAGCCGAAAAGCCAGCCCTGTCCAAAGATGTCTCCGTGGTCATGTGGCCAGCATGACTAAACACCAAAGGCGCACAGAACGCTGTTACCTTCCCACCAAAGTGGTCCCTATTTTTCTACTTGCATTTTTACATGTTTTCAAACTGCTAGGTTGGCAGAAGCTGGGACAAACTAAAGCAAATAATTTAATTGGTTCTATTATAACCTTTGTTCATGTTGCTTATTTTCAAATACTCATTAAACAGCGGGAATATCCACAAATACACTAAATAAATTAAACAAAGAAAGGTTCAAAAATGTCACATTTCAGCAAATACACTGCCTCAGTTCCCAAACAGCTCCAAAGTTCTGATGTAACCTAGGCTCAATGCCAAACACTTTCCCTTTATTCTTGCACTTTGCCAACTGTTATATTCTGTAATCTGCATAACAAGCAACAATGACCCTAGTCACAAGGCCAGGAGTGTTTGCATTGCAGAAACAAGCCCAGGTGTAGCTTTTGTTTGCATGCCAGCACAACTGTAACATGTACAAACACATATGTACTACCCTTGTACAAACTAAGTCGTGTAAAAATAATGCTTTCAGAGTTAAAATGACTCAGATTCATAAGGGAAGTATAATAGTGAAAGTTGTGAGCATTCAAAAAATCACATTAAATAACAATAGGGCAATGTTTACAATACAAAAAGTGCATCATGGAATGCAAAAGCAGAATCTTTAATGGGTGAAATGAAGGAAAGAAGTTGCTATGGAATGCCAGATTTCGTTAATGGCGGTGGTGGTAGTATTGCTATAATTTTATGATTTTGTATAATTCTGTAAATAAATGAACAGATCTAAATGATGAAGTTGGAAAGGACAAAATACTATACAGGACTATTGTATAATTGTGTGAAAATGTTCCAGTCTGCTTGGATGACATTCAAAGGCTAATATCCTTTTACTTCAAGGGAATATACATGAGAAAACCTGGACAAGACATTATGGCTTTACTCTCACATCAAGTTGATTCCAATCCTATGCACACTCATCTGATAATGAAACCCTTTCGAATAGAAGAAAGGTGCCCAGGATGAGATGGATCTTTGAAAATGTTTTGAACTTTCTTAAGGCAGCGGGAGCTATAAAGCTCTTCCAAAGAGGGGAGAGGGCAATCAATGATCTTCTGGGCAATGATATTAACCCTCTGGAGTGCTTTCCTATCTGCCACTGAGCAATTGGCAAACCATATAGAGGTGCAGTAAGTTAAGATACTCTCTATGGTTGCAACAGTAGAAGGTCACCAGCAGTTTGACTGATGAGAATGGCCAGATGAACCTGTGGCTACAGAAAATATCTGAAAGAGATCATGAAGCCTAAATAAAAACTTAGTTAAATACTTAGCCACAAAGTCTAACTAAAACCTAACATATTTAGCCTTCAAAAGAAAAAAACTAGAAAGTCCAGTTGCCTCCTGAAAAAGCACCTTTGGGACAATCATGACCTGGATGACTGAGAATCTCTACAGACTTCTAACATACCTAACCTAACAACTTAGGTTAATACAATAATATTACATTCTCAGACTACCACGATGGCTCATCAAGAAATGAACTCAAGAGTTCTCACTTGAAACAAATGACCAGGCTCACATTATCCAAATTCAGACACATTATGCAAAGATTTAGTTCTCTGGAAAAGGCTCTAATGTTGGGAAAGATGAAAGGAAAGAATAAAAAGGGATGACCAGCAGCAAAGTGGATGGCTTGAGTTACAAAGACGATAATTTATGATTCATTGTTGGGAGACTTGCAAGAACCAGGCTGGGATAGATCCTCATGGAGAAAAGCTACGGGGTCTTCAAAAATTGAAAAGGCTTGATAGCAATCAATCACTCAACCAATCAATCTAATAAAACGGCACCAGACCTTCTATTATAAAAGCAAATGGGCGGAAAATAAACCTATAAGCAAAACCAAATCTTTCGATTGCATTTTCCCCCCCTCATTGGTGCTCGCTAACTCGATCAAGAGGGAAGCGCCGGACTGACAAATGCTGCTGCAGGTTTGGCGGATCGCAGGATGCGCTCATCCGAAAAAATCGGTTCGGCAGGGAACTCTCCATTCCCACGGCTCGGTGCCGGCTGGCCGTAGCGAAAAGGGCTAAAAGGAGGATCCATCCAATTTGGGCTCTGGGTGTCTTACAAATGAGGAACAGTACAGGTAGAAGATTTCTGGTGGAAATGGCACAGTTAAGAGTCATAGAAGAACAAGAGTTGGAAGGGACCTTGGAGGTCATCTAGTCCAATCTCCTGCTCGAGCAGGAGAGTCTATTCCCAAATATTAGCCTCTACCTAGGATCGAACTCACAGCTTGCTCACAAGTTCCAGAAGCGCCGCGCTGTTTCTTCCGAGAGCTGCAGGGCAAAGAGCCTGAGAGCCGCTTCGGCTACAGCAAAAGCGCTCCCTGCTTGCTGGCTGAGCCCCGGGCTGCCTCTCAAAATGGCTCCTTCGCCTCTCATCCGAGGGAGATGTTCCGTTTCATCGTCTGAACAGCCTAACAAACGAGACCCACCGGCTTCCCTCATCTTCATCATGGTACAGGGCAAGGGGACACTCCGGATCATTAACCCCTTTTGTTGCCCTCTAGTGGCTGCCGGATTTTTTTATAGCTTCGGATCGTTCGCTTTCTCTGAGCCCCACCCCATTCATTTGTATCGACACGCCCTTCACGTTCGGTTGGATGAGTACCGAGGAGTCGCTTCCACTGTAGGTCGCGGGGCCTGGGAGTAGGCGGAACGTTAAGCCGGAAGTCGGCCAATCCGCAACAGAGGACCCTGACAGCTGCTGTGCTTGGTCCGCCTAAATCTGCATCAGAGCCTGCAGGGCGACTCAGCAGTGACGTAGTTCGGGAATCGGGCTCAGGTAGGCAGCGCTGGAAGAAACAGTGCAGCCAATAGGAAAGTTGTGCGCATGCGTGCCGCACGCCGTGGCTGTTTGATATCGTTCGGGGAAGGGTCGCTTATTGATTCCGGAATTCGAGATATTTTCCAGCGAAGCTTCTGCTGCTGCAATAAATGCGTTGGTCCTTATGTTCCGGAAGGTTCCGTCTTTTTCTTAAATCTTGCTTTGGTGCATATGCAGAGGGTCTTTTTTTGCTTTCGCTGCTGATTAGCTGTCGCAGCCATGAGTAACCTGTGAGCAGTGTGTTGTTAGTGCCGCTCTGGTCATTTGCACAACGGCTTTGCTTCCAAGCACTGATGGGAATTGTGTTTCAATAACATCTGCCAGCCTGCCCTTAATCAATCCTTGGACCTGGCAGCAAAATCCGCCTCTGTAACTTTTAAATTTAGTCTATGGAGATTCTCAGCCAGTGACTTAATAGACTTAAATTCTCTTAAGTTCAGCTTTTCTTCAAAGATCTTATCCTTTTCTGTTTATCTGCCATTGAGCATCAACGGATTAAAAAGCACAGCTGAGTTAACCCAATTAATTAATGTTCAGTAAACAGCTTTTATCAGTTTATCAACTAATGTTAAAAATCAGTTTTGATCTACAAACAGCTTTATTAAAGAAGAATTTGTAGTATGACAGTTGAGACCTAACACATATTGATGAGAGAATCCCAATTACTATGTGATGAAGGAGACTGGCTTCTGGGAAGTCAATTTTGGAAGAGAGAACAACCCTTAAGTGCTTAAATGATGGGAATCCATCTGTTATTAATAAGTCTGCTTCCAACTATATTATTAATGGCCCACAGAGAAAGGTCTGATGTGCAGCCCTCTGGATGGAAGATAGGGAGAAAACAGCCAGATAGATTTAACATGTGGTCTTAAAGATTCATATTGGATAGGCTTTAAGTGATGGAGTTGGAATTATTCTTGAAAAAGTACTGGAAGCAGTGAAATTATATAAATACAGTAAGGAACATCTTTTTTGTCAATATGATGCTAAAAGATTTGAGACTAGCTGGGATTTTTGAGCCCCTTTCTGCTAACTTTTGTGCTGCTATTATTTTTATTGTACTAATGTACTATTATTGTACTATTTTTCAGGTTAAAGCATCCACTTAATTTTACATAAGTACTCTTTCAATGGCACATATCAGTATCAACCAATATTTGCAGCAGGTAATTGATAAGTCTAATTTGAAAAAATAACCATCATTTTGGTATACTTTGAAAAATTATTCTAATTCGGCTAGAACCTCTCCAAATCTAATAATGCTCTGTTGAATGAAAATAGAAGCATTTTGCGGTCAATAATTGCATAAGATTACTTTAAAAATAACTTTAAATTAGTCATATCTTTTTCTTATTTCATTGCTATTTTTGCTACTTTTAGTTACAAAGAAATGAGACTTGTACCAAGGCCCAGCTCTATTCCTTCCAGATTCTGGGAGGTTGTCCATAGCATAAAAATTGTATGGGCAGCATGTGATTTCCAGATGTTCATGGACTCCAGTTCCAATTATCAGTGGTGAGAACTGTATTCAGCAATATCTGGAAGGTCATATGGTACTCCCTACTGCTGGGCACTAAGATGATCATAATCAAAACTAGCAAAAGTTAATACAATTTTCTTACTGGTCCTCTAATACTAAATTTACATGGTTTTCTTTCACAGGTACTGGAATCTATTGATGGCAAAGATGGATTGTTTTGTGCAGAATTAGTGTCATTTAAACATCCTCATGTTGCAAATCCTAGACTGCAGGTAACACATTTGGATTGCAATCCTGTAAATGTATTGAAGTTCTGTTGAACTCATTAAAGGAACATGACCTATTTATTTTAGAATAGAAATATATAGGATTGTCAGAGAGCCATAATTAGAGTCATGGAAAATACTTTAAAATACATTTTGAACTTTGATTTATTGTGGATTCCATGCCTAGAAGGTATTGCAATGTTTACTTACATTTTTAATGACAAGGAGCTATCTCCTTGTACTTGCTCAATATAAAACAATCTTCAACAATCTTCCTACAGAACTGGTTTGCCATCTTTTAAAGAAAAGGTTGGACATCCACTTCTGAAAGGTTTAACTCATTTTTAGCCCTCCGGTTTTGGACTTCCCTAAAGACAGACTGCTGACCATGATTGTCCGCAGCTTTGGTCCATGCTTCGTTGTCTGAGAGCCCCCATCAGCTAGATCTGGGACAGAAGCCGCCTCATAGGGGCGGTAGAGGAAGGGGAAACCGTCAGCCGGGTAGAGGGGGGTCGCAAATCCCCTCCCTGGCTTGGTAAAGCTACCTCCCGAAGACGTCTGAAGCGGTGGTCTAAAATGGCCACCGAAAGGGAAGAGTAAACTGGAATAAGATTGCGCAGGAGAGAGAAAGGAGTGGACAGCAGGAGAAATGGGAGGTTATAATTAAAGGTACCCCAGGATTAATTTTTAAGATTTTTTTAAAACAGACATTAAGCGGTGAAGAGAAAGGAGGGGAAAAAAAGAGTGTGAATTGTTTTTTGACAGCAGTGGGGCTTTGAACCGGAAAAGGTAGAAGCTAGAAGAAGAAATCATTTTACTAATTTGGATCAGTTGGATTTGATTTTTTTGGAAAACTGTGGTTTAAAAAGCCCCGAACAGAGGGGAAAAAAAGGGGTGAAGATTTGTTATGATAAAGAATGCCATCAAATGGTTAAAGTTAATTTGTTTTGTTACTAAAAGATTCTGCTTCTAAAAGATCTTTGAAAAATTGAAACTTTGAAACAAAAAGAAAAGCAGGAAGATTGCCCTGGGATTAATTGTTGATTTTGGCTGGACTTGGATTTGGACTAGTTATGAACTTAAAATTTGAGAGGAATAAAACAAAAGCTGGTGGAAACTAACCTCATAGACCCTGTTTGGAATAAATTACTAGACAAAAACATATAAAATGGCGATATTTCTTCTGGAATTAAAGATGGAACTTAGAAACATGAAAGAAATATTACAAGAACGAGGTGAATCACTGGGTTATACTTTAAAACGAGATCTTAGAATATGAACAATAAAGATAACTAAGACAAAAGATGGAAGATGAGGTGGGGCTGACTACAGAAAAGGCCATTTTTAACTATCATCGGGAACAAAGAATTCTGAAAGGAGGAGAAGAGTGGGAAATAAAAATATGAGATATAAGAAGTTAAATAAAAAAGGGAATATCTGTAAAATTAAAAAAGGTAAACAGAAACAGCAGAAAATTGAAGGGTGGAAGGAAGGAAACGGAGGGGGATAAAAACGAGTGGCAGAATAAAGGGGAGAATGAAAGGGAAAAGAAATGATAAAAAGGATTTGGAAACAAAGAAATAGGGGAATTGTAAAAAAAATGAAAAGGAATTGTTTATTTAGAATGCATAAAGACAATAGCTAATATTTTAAAAGGGGATTTTGCAAGGTGAGGAGGGATAGTTTAAATATACTTAAAGTTATGAATATTGAAATTCTAAATCATTTTTATGAATTTAAGAAGGGGAAAAACCATGCAGAATCTGATTTATATTTGCTATATAGTTTTAAAAGGATTATTAATTTCAATTCTCTAGGTAATAAAGGTTAATTATTAATTGAGATTAAAAGGAGATAATTAGTGAATATGTAAATTTTAGAGGTGGCACACTTAAAATTGATAATTTAAGGGGGAAACTAATTTTATTGAATGTATTAAATTAGATTTTATGAATGCATGTAATAATATGTCATGAAATATGCAAATATGACAGTTAAAAGTAGTTTAACAACTGTGTTGTTAAAAAGTAGTTTAACAACTGTGAAAATATATGAAATATAGGTGAATTAAATAAAGAGGCAAGCATTTGGAATAATATAATAAAGTAGAAAATGTATAAAAGTATTGTTAGGATAAGAAGTTGAATATAAAAATTGAATATGTAATTATGGTCATGTTTGTATGTAAAGATGAACCTGTAATCATGCTGTTCGCTAAAAAGAGATGTTTTTAAAATGTGGAAAACTGAAATAAAACTTTTTTTTAAAAAAAATGAAAGGTTTAACTCATTTTTCTATGTATTGCAAGGAATTGGAATAAATAATTTTGTGGTTCCTTTTAACTCCAGAATTCTGTGATTCTAAAATCAGTATATGATACAGTCTTTTTAATAGTCAGCTAGTAGATTAAATGTTGTCCCATGCAAGGATTTGGTTTAGCGTGCATCATCGTATGTTAAGTTTTTGAAACCAAATTGCCTTCTGAGCTCGTTTTTTTCTCTTTTTGATTTGCACGTATGATTTATCCTTGTTATAAATTGTGAACCTTAGTCACACTTGAATCTGATTCAAATGACAATGACTCCTTCCTACCATACTATATGTCATTGACTGAAAGAACAATGACACTGTAAATATCTTTAAGTCTTCTAAAAAATGAAATTTGGCCAGGCAGTTTACTTATAAAGTTATTTATGTTATTTATTCTGTAATTAGAGAAAAAGGCATAGGCAGTTAAGATGCACTTCTTCAGCTTCACGATTTTTGTCAAACTGTTTTGTGGGCAACAAGGCCTCATTTTTCCCTCTGGTCTCTATTTTATAACTAGCTTTCATCTCCAGAAGAAAAATGTCAACAAGTACTGGAACCACCTTATGATGAGATGTTTGCTGCTCATTTAAGGTAAAATGCACCTTGGAGCACAGTGCAGCACAGTGCAGTTACTTTCAAGTATTCCAAGTAATACCAAATGGCACCTTGTGCTAAAAAAAATTAATATCTTGGCAATTATTCTGAAAGCGTAGAAGTGGCTGAAAGGATGTAAAATAATACAGTTATTTTTTTAAACAGTTATTCCATAAAAATGGACATTTGCATAGAACTGTACCTGAAAAATTCTGAAGTAGAAAAATAAAACCTTCAAAATATATCAGAAGAAAACATTCTGCTCAAGTACCCTTTTTAGCAAATGAAATTAGCTATTTGTTGCCATTTAAGAAGTCTGATATTTAAGTTGCAAGACAAGTATACTAAGAAGCAAGAAGCATGAAGTAGATTTGGATTTACTGATGAAAAACATGGTTAAGATTTATTAAATTGAAATAAAGAGAATATAACCCAGCTTAGTTTTGGTTATTATTTAAAATTCATGTTTCATTTTTCTTAATAGATGTACTTACGCAGTTGCCAACCATGATTTTGTAGAAGCGTACAAATGCCAAACAGTTGTAGTACAATATCCTTTATCACTTGCTCTTTTGAAAATCTACAGTGGAATTTGGAGTTAAGCTTTCAGCACAAACTACAGAATTACCAATGTTGGGTTAAGGACCAAGTAAATGTTCGACCTACTACTTAGACTCAGGGTCTATCTATACTATAAACAAGGTCAACTATACTGTAATTGGATATAAATATTGAAAAAAATCTGTTTTTGTTAGATTGCTGGGCAATCTTATGGGGATGCTGATTATACATAGCACATCCAATGTAAAGAATCTTCATGCCTGGCTTTTATAATCAATGGGTTTGCATTTTTAGATGATGAGGATGTTAACATTTGGTAATTATTAGCATAATGTAATAGTTGTGGCCTCTTCTGATCAAAGTGTTTCTATCATTCACGTCTTGTAAATGTCCATATTAAACCATACACATTATTCTTGCCTTTTTATATTGGTCTTAAACTGTGGGTTCACACTTAGAGCTATGTCACTAAAATTCCATTTTTAATGAATTATATTTCATCAAATTTCCTTATACTCTCTACATCTTTCCTGAGAGCTTTTCAAGCACACAAAGAAGAAAACTGGTAAGTACCTGATTGACATAAATCTATATCTCAAAATATAAATGAACTAGCCTGATGAGAAATATTCCATTTTATGTAGGTAGATAGGGGATAACCCATTTTAATATCTCAAATATTCCCCAACTGTGAAGATAAATGGAAGCAAAGTGATATCTTGGACCAGAAATAGCAATTGGTCATACATAGAGAATGGCATGGAGACCAAAAAAAGATAGAAAGACAACTAAATCAAAATTTGATTTTATTTGCATTAAGCTAGCCTTTTCCTATGATTTTCAGCCATTTGACTATCTTCAATAAATACTAAAAATAGCCCATAGAAAGATTTCAAACAGGCCTCATTTATCCTGGGTAAATGCGGGCTTGGATATTGGAGTGCTTTTTCTATGTTCCTGAATATTTGGGGAAATAAAGGAATTCATTAGAAACTCTAAAATTTCATTGTCCATGTTTCAATAATAAATATAAAATATGTTTTGTTGCTATGTTTAAAAGTATGCAGCAGATTATTTTTCAAGATTAACCGTATGTTGAATTTTCATTTGCCAGGGCTTTGCCTATTATGTATGCAGTGGCACTTGATCTTCGCATTTTTGCCAACAGTGTAAGTATTCCCGCTTAGGCCAAAATTAATAGATGCTGAAGGAATGAAAGATATTGGGATGGACTGGGTAACAAATTGAGGTGCTCTGGGCTTGGCCTGAAACATGTTCAGGAATACACAAAGCTATTTGCTTACTTGTGTATACACTGTATCTAAATATCTGTGGGTATGTATTGTGTCCCAACTTAGTGATTAGAAGGCTTAAGTGTGATTGTATCTCGCTGTTGTGTCATGATAGGCTGATCAACAACTGGCAAAGAAAGGCAAAGGCAAGATTGGTGATATGTTGGAAAAAGCAGCCGAACTTCTTATGAGTTGTTTCCGTGTATGTGCAAGCGACACGTGAGTATATCCTTAGTCCTAGGTTAAATTGTTTGGAAATGTAGATTACATTTTATTTATAGTTTGTAAACTGGTCTGTAGGCTTGTTATATGTCGGACTTGGGAGACAATTGTCCATAAGTTGGATTCGGAATTCTTTGAGAGCTGTATTGTGGCAAATCATTAATCATATTTTCCCAAAGACAAAGTTTCCTCAATCTTAAGATTTGAATCCATTGGGTTGAAAATTAATGTAAATATTAATTTATCAATAAATGTCTCAATTGAAACTGGCCTTCATAACATTTATATTATTTATTTATTATGATTTTATTTATTAGATTTTTATGCAATCCATCTCCCCTATAAAAGTGACTCTTATATATGCCACTTTGGATCTGATGAGCTCAGTAGAATGTTTCTGAATATGTGCAAAGAGGATTATGATGTTAGTACAGACTGCGGTTATGATTTTGGTATGCAAAAACACTAGGAATGTGGCTCAAAGCCTAATATGCATGTTTTAAGGATAAATTTTGATTATGATCATTTTTGTAATGTTTGTTATAGTCGAGCCAGCATTGAGGATTCAAAAAAGTGGGGCATGTTGTTTCTGGTGAATCAACTATTTAAAATATATTTTAAGGTATGATATGAACCTTGAAAACCTTATCATGAATTCTTTCTTTTTGACTGAAGATTGTTGTCACACATGTAGCTTCCCCTCTGCTAACATTGTTGCTCTTTCCAGATCAATAAACTTCACCTATGTAAACCATTGATAAGAGCAATTGATAGCTCAAACCTTAAAGATGAATATAGTATGGCACAAAGAGTTACATACAGGTATTATGTTGGAAGGAAGGCCATGTTTGATAGTGATTTTAAACAAGGTATTTATCATATTGATATAATTGATGTTTTTTTTGCTATGAACTTTTGCATATTAATACATTTTAAAAGTTGGTTTGATATGTCTGATTCCAGTATCATACAGATACTACAGGTTACAGATATATGACTCATCTTAATTCATTGTCAGTACAAATTGTTGAAATTAAATTGCTAATTTCATTAAACTGTATGGAGAGAACATCATTTCTATTATTTGGAAAGTCCAACACTTTGTGGATTCTCCTGGTTTTTCTATTTCCTTTCCCATTTTGCTATTCCTTCCACCCATTTGTATCTAGCTAGTATTTCTACATTGATGTTCTCACTTGTCATATATGTTGAATTAATTTCATTGATGCTACTGATGATTCCTCATTGACCACAATTAACCTCTAACCTGAGAGATGAATATCTGTAGAAGCTTAGTGGAAAGAGGAGCATGTGAGATCCTTTCTGTGATTGTAATATAAGGCAATCTTAACATCAAATTCAGAAGCATAAAATAGTTTTATATTCTCATGTTTTGAGGTGCGCCTTGTGATTGAAAAATGGATGTCATTTTGTTTCTTATTTCCAGAGTTAAAATTAGAGTGTGGGAAAATTGGAATTGCCTGTTTCAGGTTAAACCAAATTCATAAATTAGGTTGATAAAAAACTAAGCGTTCCTTTCTACTTTGAGCACTGCCTTGTTTTCAAAATGCTTAAGTTTCTGACAAAGATTGGGAGGTTGACATTTGTTGCTCTTCAGAAAACTGTTGTAGCAAAATTCAGGAGTAAGTATGATTTAGGAGAACCATTCTATTAAACTTGAGTATTTGTACAAATCACTATTGAGAATAATCATTGTGGTCTTTTTCTCTAATACATGCCAGCTGGGGGATTCTGGGAATTGAAGTCCCCCCTCTTAAAATGGCCAACACTGAGATACATTGCTCTTAATGTACATAATGTATACTGAAATCTTAGCTGATTTTATTTTTGCTTTGATAATGTCATAAAAAACATACGTTGAAGAGCTAGATTGTACACTGTAACATGATATATGCAATCTTCCAGAGGACTGGCTGTGGAGCCACATTTGGAAAAATTGCTAAAAATTATTGTGGATAAACTCACCATAATTTATTGTTAGTACAAATTCTTGAAATAGATAAATTGCTAATTTCATTAAACTGTGGGGCGGGGAACATTATTTCCTATGATTGTTAGAAGGTCCAACATGTTGTGGATTCTCCTGATTTTTCTACTTTTTCAACTACTTTCCACTATTTGCTCCTGGTCTATGCCAATGAGTTATGGTGTTCCTTCTCTTTGTCTTCTTGCAGCTGAAGAGTATCTGTCTTTTGCCTTTGAGCACTGTCACCGGTCTAGTCAGAAAAACAAAAGGATGATATTGATTTATTTGCTGCCAGTGAAAATGTTACTGGTGAGTGACAGGAGAGATTCCGAACTTTGGTGAATAGTGAAAGAATTTGGAATTATGAGAATATATGTCCTGGATAGTCTCAAATTAGCTGTTGGCCTGCCCCTTTCATCCATTCTATCTTCTATTCAAGGTTTGTCATTTTTCTGGGCAGGTGAACACATTTCTTCAAAGCGTGGACTGGCAACTGTCCATTTTTTAAAGAAAGACTGGAGCTCTGCTTGGAGTTCATTCAGTGTAATGGAAGAAGCTGGCACTTTGCTTTGTAGCATGCTGGGGTTCCTATTTTTATTTTTGCCAACACAGTGAACTGTTGGAAAGAAATTATATAAAGAGCTCAGCTTGTCTCTTTGTTTGGCAACAGAATCACTCTATAAAAATTACACAGAAAGGGACAAATTTGGAAGTCAGAAGAAAGATAGTGTTTAGAAATGGTCCAGAGCTGCCTTGGAACTGTAGGAAAAAAACCAACCATGTGGGAAGGCTTGTAGGACATGGCTCTGAATGCTACTGATTTCACTCCTCTAAGCCCACTTTCCTCCTCCTTCATCATCATGTGATCCAGAGTTGAGTATATGCAGCTCACAAATACACAAACACAAATGCAGTTAAAGGGGAGAGCAGAAATACAGTTGCAACTTGTTAATTCATTACCCAGACAAAAATACAAATGCTTCTAAGGCTACTTCTAGTAAAGGGGTTTAAAAGATTTTCAGAAGTCACACGTTCGTTCTCTACCTTGTTTAAATGAAAATGAATGTTAATGTAAAAATGATATGTATTTTGATGGATATCAAGTTAGGTATCAGCAGATTAGAATCTCTGGTCTTAAAAGTATGTTCTGGTACTTAAAAAAGAATTGGGGAATGAGTCCTTTCTTGGCCAGAGATTTATGGAGTTGCCCATCATAGGTATAGTTTATGGAAGGCATGTAGTATTTGGGACCCACTAGGCATATAAAATCATTAGCTGTACACTTGTTACACAGCTTTTTGTGTTTTGTAGCTCCAAATAGTCAAGGAAAACTTGAAACTGGATTGAGAACATAGTATGACATCAGATGTAGGTTGAGAATAACAACCTGGATTCCAGAGACCCAGAATCATTAATGAATTTCCTAAATTGCTTAGTTGGAACTTCTGTGCAAGCACTTAAGAATAAAGTGCTAACTTCTACATGAGGCAGGAACTGTAGCTCAAGCTTCAGAACACAGGAAGAGGAGAAAGAGCAGTTCTTTGGTTTGTTGTTGTTAGTCGCGATTGCTAAATGCAAAAATCCAAATCCAATGGAAAGTGACTGCTGTCAATAGATTCTTTCTGCTAGATTCAGAATTGGTCTTTCAGTTCAAAAATGGCTTGACCCAGTTTGGGATCCCATTAGGATCCTTCCAACATATGTCAGATACATATGATGGATATTATTTGGGTAATAGATAGCCAAAAATAATCTCTTTTGTGCTAGGAGATTAGCTATGATGATAATTAGCAGAACTACTCATGAGTATAGCTTTAGGGGAAAAAAACTGATTATTGGTATTTCTAATTTTTGGCATTGAGTTTAAAATTATGCTTGGATTTTCAGGGCCATATGCCAATGGTCCAGCTTTTAAAAAAGTATGACCTCATGCAGTTTGCAGAAGTTACAAAAGCTGTGAGGTAAGTTTCATTTATGGAACTGCATACTTATAATTCTATTAATGTAGCAAGATTGCAAACTATTATTTATCTTTCAATGTAGATAACACGAACTGTTGAATGTTGCTTTGCTAATTAAATAATGACAATTGTAATGCAGATTAAACTAACAATCTCTTCTCCCCAGGAAATAAATGGAACACCCCAACCAAACTACATTTGAGCTGCAACTCTCCTTGCTTTGTACTAATGCCCTGCCATTGCAGTCTCACCCTTTGCAAATTCGGTCCCAGAATCCAAAAAGTTGCCAATTCATTTGCTCAATATTGGTATCTCTAAATATCGGTTTAGTGTAATATGTACAAGCAGAAACATCCCGAGCAAAGTCTTGGCTTGTGGACATTCTCATTCCTCCTCCATGAAACCAGGAGGAAAAACAAAGCAAAATTCTGTTTTACTTTGACTAGACCTCTTCTTTCATATAAACTAGAATATTAATTTACTAATTTGGTCTGGTTTTGTAAACTGGTTGTTAATTTCTGTCTGGGCTACTTTCTGAGGAATATCATGCTGTTGCTAGTTAACATGCCCTTTCCAGGCAATTGAATGCTATAGCTGTTGTATCCCCTCTCTTGAAGCAGGATGGCTGCTTGCAATGGGAAGTTATTAGTAGTGTGTACTATGGAGTAATGATGCTTTCATTAGATTATGAAAGAGGTTTAGGGCCTTTATAGTTTAATGTAGAGGATCAGGGTGGGCTGAAGTAATTGACAGACCACTTATCAGTAATAATAGTTGCTTAATTGAGATAATATCTCTGAGTAAGCCAGGAAAGTAAAGATTGAACAAGACTATAACTCTTGGACTGTTAGATTAGAATTCCACATTTTCCAATAATAATACGTCAGGTTAAAGTGAAACAGAGTTTTAGTTTACTCCTCCTCTTGGCTATGGGGGAAAGGCTAAGATACTGGAAAAGTCAAATAAATAGCCGACTTCTTATGAAGCTACTTGTTGCTCATCACTCAGTATATGATTATGCACCCCAATGTAGATACAGTCACTGAATGTTCAAAACTTTTATTTTTTAAATTCCTTTAGTGAAGGGAACCTTCTTTTATTAAATGAAGCTCTGGCAAAACATGAGACGTTTTTCATTCGCTGTGGTATCTTCCTTATTCTTGAGAAGTTGAAAATCATCACCTACAGAAATCTCTTCAAGAAAGTGTAAGAGTTTCATTTATATTGCTTGATGCGGCTAAGGTGTCATTAACTGTGTACGATATGATGTTACAGTAGGGAAAAAGTCAGATCAACCAGAATTACAAGTAGTCCTTGATTTATGATAACAGTTGAGCCCAACATTTCTGTTAAATGAGATATTTGTTAAGTGAGTTTTGCAACACTTTCTGGCCACAGATGTTAAATGAATCACTGCAGGTGTTAAATTAGTAACACAGTTGTTAAGTGAACCTGGCTTCCCCATTGCCTTTGCTTGTCAGAAGGTTGCAAAAGGCTGGTCACATGATCTCAAGCCACTGCAACCGTCATAAATATGAGTCAATTGCCAAGTATCTGAATTTTGATCACATGATATTGCAATGGTGTAAGTGTGAAAAACAGTCATAAGTGACTTTTTTAGTGCCATTGTAATTTGAACAGTCACTAAATGAATTGTTGTAAGTCAACGACTAGTTGTATATTATTTATTTTCCTCTTTATTGTAAGGAGTACTTTTTGAAATGGCAAGTTTGCACTAGTTGAGCAAAGGACGTCTGGCTTTTGACTATCTTCCTAAGTGGAAATTTCTGCTAGTAAAATCTTTTAATCAGTAATATGTTTGCTGGAAGCATCTGGAATCTTTTGTTTTAAATGTAAAAACCATGATTTAGATTTTCAGAGATTTGCCTGATATTTTAAATATCTGGCAAGAGAAAAATTGTCCCTGTGTATTTTTTTTAAAAAAGAAAGGTCTTTGAAATGGGAATTGGAAAGCTTTCTTTTCTGACTGCAGTAACTATACAGACCAGCCGAGAAATGTCATATTCAGGGACTAAAGATAATTGTTTGGTTTATGTGAACTTTATATTCTGTTTTGATTCAGCATTTATAGTTATTAATAGAAATAATGCTTTATATGAGTTGAGTAAGCAGACTTGAAAGTTGAATAAGCAGACTTGCTTTTTTGGGTTAACCCTAATCTATATATCAAGATTAACCCTAATCTAAATATCAAGATTCTCTTTCATTTCCCAAATAAAGTAATAATAGGGCAGTTTGGTTCCAAATATTTGGGACTAGCCAAATATTAGGGACTAACTAAATCAGGGGTCTCCAACCATGGCAACTTTAAGGCTTGTGGACTTCAACTCCCAGAATTCCTCAGCCAGCTGGCTGAGGAACTCTGGGAGTTGAAGTCCACAAGCCTTAAAGTTGCCAAGGTTGGAGACCCTTGAACTAGATAACTCATGTCCATTGGGTCATCCTTTCAGATATATTTCCTTACCAAAACAGAGAATGTAAGTACAAATCTGTCACCGTGTTCCTGTCAGCAGCCATGATCCCCATCGACTTTCTCCCTATAAGCTTCTCAGGCTTCCCCATTGACTGGTGGGAAAGTGTCAGGGAATGTTGTAAATGAGGGTCATGTAACCATGGCAGCAGAGCAGTGGCACTGAACAGCAGCTCGGTTGTTCTGACACGGCAAGAACTTTACAAAATTTCATTGCTATGGGAATAATGGGTCCTCCTCACATTCTAGGAGTTAACTCCTTTGAGGTACCTTAGTTGAAATGGTTTTCCCCTATGATGCACTGTTTATCCCAGTTAAAGGTTACATGTGTGTGTGTGTTTGTGTTTGTGTGTGTACATATACATATACACATGCATACATGCATACATACACACACAAAGTGTAACATTTTACTACAGTCCTTTATCTGCTAGTTGCAGTAGTCACCTTCAACTCCAAGTCTTAACCAAAATAAAATTTGACTGGATCCTCCAGACTATGTGGCGGAATCTTTTCTCAGAAAAGTGAAATACGTAGATGTTTCCATTTACAGAAATATGAGTAGGCAACGAGAGGATAGATCTGGAGGTTGAGGCATAGACTAGGTTGGAATTACTATCAGTAGTAGCAACTGTGATGTTTTTTTCCCCCTTTCCTTCAGATATTTGTTACTTAAAACTCACCAGCTAGCTCTAGATGCCTTTCTGGTTGCCCTGAAATTCATGAAAGTCACTGATGTTGATATTGATGAAGTCCAGTGCATTTTGGCTAATCTCATTTACATGGTAAGTGTTGGCATTCATAACATGGCATGGATAAAAACATTTGCTGTTGTTGTAGGCTTACCATACCATAACATTAATATCTACTTTTATATAAAGTGAACATACTCTGTATATTCATAAGCATAAAAGGACAAATGGTTACTCAATGGAACAATGGACAATGGAATTGGACAAGTTTTTTTTAATCTATTATATATTTCTCCAGCATTGTATTAATGGTGTATTATTAATCACTAGCTTATAGTCAGAGGAATATTGCCAGCTGCTCCGGGTTCTGTGTTAGGGTGAGAGTATGTCAGCCTTTTTCAGCCATGTGCCTTTGGGTTTCATTGAGGTAATATCCCAAAATTGTCAGCCAGTTTAATCAGGGCCAAGCTGGCAGATAATTCAGCAATTCATGGTTTTGGTAAGGCAACAGATTCAGGGAAAATAGACATTCATGGTATCAGCAGCAACGATGTATGAAAAGGACTATATAATATAACGTTGATTCAAGAAAAGGGATTCCTTTACACCTGCTTGATACCCTTTAGTGCACTTTTCCAGGTCTGGTGCCTTCCAATTGTGTTGAATTTTAGCTACCCAAATACTTATCTAGCATGTTGAAAGATCATCTTGATTTGGAATTCTGGAATTTACATATATAAATACATGTGTTTGTATTTTGGTAATCTGGAGGATGTCAAGTTGACTTTGAAGTTGACTTAGGAGGTAATTTGGGCATGGAAGTAATGGAATAATGGAATAATTTTAATTGCTGGTTTGAGTTGAGGATCCATTTTGGGATTATCTTTCTCCTGAAATACTTGAGCAAAAGAAGATAATCAGGGTTTTTTGGGCTGAAGTAATGAGATTATTCAAGACCAGGAAAAGGAGCATTAATTTAGAATATGTCTTAACTCTATTTTGTTTGCAGTGACTTGGTTTCCTGCTTGAATATTGATGCAAAATAATCTGTTAATCTTATAATTTCACTTACATTACCTACTCTCACTCAATTCACCACACATTAACCCTATGCCCTGTATATCCTGTATTGAAATTATCTAGTGCCTAAATCATACAACCTCACACAATAGCATGTCTACTTACTATACTAATACGAATACTAATACTATAGTATACTATACTGACGGTATCTCTGGCCGAGTGCTTAAAGACTGTGCTGGTCAGTTGTCTGGCGTCTTTACCAGGATCTTCAATCAGTCTTTATCTCAGTCCACTATTCCATCTTGTTTGAAGGCTTCCACCATTGTTCCACTGCCAAAGAAGTTCCCTATCAATAACCTCAACGATTACAGACCAGTGGCACTCACTCCTATCATCATGAAGTTCTTTGAGAAATTGGTCTGCCAGCATATCATTTCTGATCTTCCGCATACATTTGATAAACACCAGTTTGCATACAGAAAAAATAGATCTACAGAGGACACTATAGCCATCACTCTTCATACTGCTTTGACTCATCTAGAACAGCGGGGGGGGCGATGTGGGGATGCTTTTTGAGGATTTTAGTTCTGCGTTTGACACAATTCTTCCACATAGACGAGTGTCTAAACTTCTGGACCTTGGACTTTCTAATTCAGTCTGCCTTTGGATTATGGATTTCCTGTCTGGCCGCTCACAGAGGGTCAGATTAGGTAATCATACCTCTTCAGCCCTTATTCTTAACACTGGTACACCACAGGGTTGCGTGTTGAGTCCCTTACTCTATACTCTTTATATGCATGACTGCATTCCCACTCACTCTAGTAATACTATTGCTAAATTTGCAGATGATACAACAGTGGTGGGACTTATCTCTGGGGGGATAAGTCTGCCTACCGAGATGAGGTGGATCAGTTGCTTTCATGGTATGGAGACAATAACTTGGTCCTCAACACCAAGGAGCTTATAGCGGACTATAGAAAGAACAGATCAGACATCCAGGTCTTGCTTATCAATGGAGACCGAGTGGAGCAAGTGGCCAGTTTTAAGTTTCTGGGTGTTACCATAAAAGAGGACCTGACCTGGGGTGCCCACATTGCAGCCCAATTCCACATTGCAGTAGAATTGAACTGTGCCAATTGGACAGTGACAGATAGGAAAGCACTCCAGAGGGTTAATGTCATTGCCCAGAAGATCATTGGTTGCCCTCTCCCCTCTTTGGAAGAGCTTTATAGCTCCCGCTGCCTTAAGAAGTTCAAAACATTCTCAAAGATCCATCTTATCCTGGGAACCCTTTTTTTGAACTATTACCATATGGCAGACGGTACAGAATAATAAAAACAAGGACAAATAGGCTGAAAAACAGCTTCTATCCCAGAGCAATAGCTCTTTTGAATTCTGCTGTATAGTTCAGTGTTGGTGTGGTTTCAGGGGTTTTCGGTTCAATTTGTGAAGGGTGAAGGATGTTTGTGTTTATTTTCATGGTCATGGTCATGATATGCGCTGAAGATGGTGTTTGATTTTGTTGTACGAGGTGAAATGACAATAAACTATACTATACTATAGTACACTACACTACACTACACTACACTATACTGCTCTGATCTGTAAATTAATCTTTCAAAAATGGCATACTTTGAAAAAAAATATACATAAATAAATATTCTAAATTTGCCAGACTGATGGTTGTGGGTTTTTCTTCCCAAACCAGGGTCATATTAAGGGCTATATCTCGCATCAGCATCAGAAGCTTGTTGTCAGCAAGCAAAATCCTTTCCCTCCACTTTCTACTGTCTGCTGAACTGAGGAATGTTGCTCCTGGACGGGGATTATGATTGGAGGAGCCCTCTTTAAAAGGTGGGACAGTATTGCATTTAAGACGAAGAGATGGAGAACTAAGAGGGACATGCTGAAGAGATTGCTGCAGCACAGAAGAGAATGAATGGCCCCCCTACTTTCTTCCACTCAAAGGAAATGATTATGATCCCCTCTCGGTAATCTTCAGAACCATCTTCTGGAAGGCAATTTTCAGAATAGGTACAGAACGAACTATGTATTGTTCCCTCAGAACCTTTTTGTAGATTTTTCTTGATAAAAATCCCAAATTAAATAAACAGCATTATATTCTGTTGATAACCTCTGGTGAATTCTGTGTTCATAAACGTGACCATAATTGATGTTTTCAATTTTAATATTGCTATATTTTTTTAAATGTAATGACTTAAGTTATCTTTCAAAGTTTAATTAAATGTAGTAAATGAAAATTAATAGTAAAAACAAAAGCCATTTAATTGTAAATTTAGGGCACTTTCAGTGAGACTGACTATTGTGTTGTTAATATGACTTCAGTACCTATAAGGCAATTTAGATCTATCAAGCGTGTCATTAAGCAATTATCAGCAGGGCTCATACAATGAATTTAGTTTACAGTAGTGTAATATATAAAATTCTTCTTTATGTCATTGTGCTAGATTTTCTCCTTTGCATTTCTTAATGTTTATATATTAGAAAGAGTGATCTCAGAAACTATTCTCCTGAAGAGAATGCACATTACTGGGAAAAGATAGTCAGATTTAATACCAAATCTCACAATCAGTGAAATTGGTACTTTAATAATTGGTTTATACTGGGAACAAATACTGATTCTATCTCCAGATGTTCTATGAAATCTTTCCACAGAGGCAAATGAAAGTGAATCATTGCTTTGTTCATAGAAGGCAAAAAGTTTTAGTTTCATAGATAGGCATACATCATATTTACAATAGTGGCTCAAACTTGAATATGTTATACGCTAGATACTCATTTTATATATATATATATATATATTGTTTTTATGTTTTAAAATCCCATTATTCGTTTAAACCACATCATGTATCTTGAGGTCTTGGTAAATATAAATGTTTTCCAGTTAACTGTTTCGGTTGCCCATGGTTCTAAAACTCCAGTGAGAAACCATGTGCCTTTATAGGGAACGGCAATAAAACTTCCTCCCACAAGCATCTCCTTGGCTTGCCCGTGACTGTGGCCACAGAATTCCCTTGTTATCAGATTTCTGTTGAGAATTTGCTTGCAATCATTCTCACTGAGGTAGGAAATAGGCCGCCGTACAAGGGAAGGTGTCAGGTAACTTCTGTTTGCATTCCAGCCACTAAGACTACCTTCCATTTGTGAAATCAACACGTGCTCTGCAAAATCCCTTTCTGGGATGCATATGGGTAGATGGTTCCTGTCGCAGTCAATTTGGCTGCTCAGCTCAAGCAGAGCCAGGTTGTTCTCGCCAGTGGTGTTGTCATAACGGAGGTGTATATTTGACTCTTTCACTGGTATTACTTGATTCAGTCCTTGCAGCTGATTGATTCCTGAACAGGTAAAAGTGTATTCATTGGTCGTTACAATAGCTTTTCTTTCGACTGGGTTTACATTAAACAAATGAAAAATGCCATCTTGCTCATCCCAATTAAGTTGCTAATGTTATGGAATAGAAAAAGATAAGCACAGAGAGGAACGGTGTCCTGAAAACTTTTAAACAACTGAAGTTATTAGTGCAATAATGCTTATGGATTATGCCTCTCTTTTGGGATCTATGGAGTCTATGCAAGGATGATCCTTGTTCTGTACAACAAAGATAGCAAAATTTATTGACTTGGCCTAGAAGTGTAGAGAAAGTGTACAAAGCATAGGGGAAAAAAAGAAATACATGTTGGCTGTAGACCTATTTAACTAGGACCGAAATAAGAAATATTAATAATGTACATAGCCAAAGCTGGTTCTACCAATAAGTGGTGTGAAACCACTAATTTTATATAGCATCATGAAAAGAGAAGAGGTGGCACCAGTTTCACATAGTGGAATATCTGTGTTGGCAACCTTTGTACACTTGCAAACAGTGCAAACAGACAAACACCGTCTGCAAAAATACCTACAATCAAACTCACTGTAACCCATCATTTCTTGGATGATGTAATTTGTATGAAAGGAATCGCCACATAGGGAAAAACAATGATAATATCCACAATCGCACCAGACCACAGCTTGACAAACTTTCTACATCACGTGACCTTCACCGACACAAGAAAGGAGGGAATAAATGGTTACAGATTACCAAATCAAGTGAGATTTTAACACCCGGTCTTATCTCGTATAAGAAGACAGAAATCTCAGTAATCTTGTGACATTTCAATTAATATGTTTTCATTTTTTTAGGATAAGTTTCTGGGTGGTTTTTTTAACATCACTGTGGCTACATGATGCATGTTTGTGCTGGGGAAATGCAATGCTGCTTTTCCTGAACTTTTCTTTGCTCTTCTCCTATTTTTTCCTAAAATAAAAGGTTAAAAAGCTACCTTGATTCACACTTGATTCATGGTGTTATGGATGGCCCATGCAATTTTCTTGGCAAGGCTGAAAAGCACTTTGTCATAACTACCTTCCACAATGTTCTTGGACTTTCTAGAATAGCCTGCAGCCCTGGGATTTTCTTATGAAATCTCCCATCCAAATTAATTCGTTAATGATGGCTGACAATAACTTTTGAGATTACGCAAAGCTGGCTGGGTGTTAGCAGTTAAGGTGATAGTTGATAATGTCTGTCTATCATCCATCCATCCATCCAAACAAACAGTAGCATGGCAAGTTTGCAGGGTGAGCATTCTGATTCCACTAATACTTTTACTTGATGTATTTGAGTTTCTGTTTCTCTGAAATTCCCAATACTGAGAGAAACAGTTATTATGTTACTTACCAACCACAACACTAACAGGAGACAGCACAGCACATTCAGCTGTAGTCAATACAAAGTTAGTTTTCAGGAGAACACCTCCACAGATCCATTTTCCTTCTGAATTTAACAGCAAAACCTTAAAAACAAAACAAACCAGTGTTTCTTTTGCTCCTTACAGGTAGCCTGCCAATTATGTTCATAAGTAGTAACTGTAGAGCAGTCATCATGTGTCTGATATAATTTTATGACCTTTTGGTGTCAGTTAAGCAAATCACCATAGTCATTAAGTGAATTAAGTGAATTAAGTCATTAAGTCTTTAAATACTGTGGTCATTAAGCAAGCCCATTATTTGCTCTTTTTCCAAAAGCTGGAAGTAAACACCTCTTTTTGGCAAAACCATTGTAAATATGACAATGGGATGCTACAAATGGCTATAAATGTGGGCTGTCTGAGTACATGAAATACTGCCACATGACCACAGGTGAGCCTGACTGTCAAAATTCAGGAATTGGGTCATAAATACCTTTTGGGGATCTTGTTACTTTGAATGTTCACTAAGTGACCAATTATAAGTTGAGGACTACCTATACAGCCACTAGAGATTGCTGCTGATATTGCAGTTTTATGGAACATTGATTTATAAGGAAAACTAACTAGCAGCTGTAATTGTCTTTATGAACTGGATAGTTGGTAAGTCAGTATAGGAGAAAAGCTGTGCAGCTTATAGCAGCTTTGGCCTTTTAATTTAAAAAAATCGTTAGCTGGAAAAGATGCTACTAACTCCTGATTTGAAGGCAGTATTTGAGTTATGCTGAATTATGGCCAGGTGGGATTTAGTAAGGAATATGGGGTAGAAAATCCAGATTAGGGTACTAGCAAAAATTCATGCAAATCACAAATGGATAAGAGGAAGAAGGATTACACAGTTTTAATTCTCTTAAAAAAATGTTTGCCATCGTTTGAGTAGAATTCCAAAAATAACACAAGAATTGGATGATGTCTCTGATGCCACAAAGTTTTAAACAGTGCACTTCATCTTAGTCAAAAGGTCAGTGCACTGT